CAATTACATGACCCGTCAGTTACAATTACACTATTCGCCAGTTAGCGTTACTCACTTACCCGACTCACGTGTTACAGATACCCGAGCCGCCAGTTTCAATTTGATCGGTATTAGTTATCCAATTTGATCCATGATAGTTGGTGGGCTTCAACCATTTAGAATTACCCGGGTCTGAATCTTATAATGATTATCACCTGCCACCACCTCCGGCGACTGACACCCCCATCACCGTCAGCGACAACTACCACCGGCGCACCACCACCAAACCCCAGCCCCCTCCCTTAAGTCACCCCAGCCCCTGCCTTTCCAGCCCTTGCCCGACCCCCACACCTGCCTCACCTCAGCCTATACCTCCCCTGCCATTGTCAATCAGTCCAGCCTCCTCGCAATAATTGCACCTCTTCGCCCACCACCGGCCAACCAGTCCACCGCCGCCGCAATAATTGCACCTCTTCACCCACCACAGACCAACCAGCCCACCGCCGTCCAACCCTAACCATCCCTAGCCGTCCAGATTAGATCTTGAATCAACAATCGGAGATCGAGAAGAAGAAAAGAAGAAGATGATGAATAAGACAACGAAGAATAACCTAGACGGAAACGGTGGTGCAACTGGATAACGATGGCGGCGCAGATGGACATAGGCGGTGCAACGAGATAACGATGGCCGCGCAGGTGGACCGAGATAAGGCTGGCGGCAAAGGTGGACAAAGGCGGCAAAGGTGGAACAGAAGTCTGGGGTGAGGCCGTGAGGGACGAGTGCAGAGGATTGGAGAGTGGAGAAGGGATGCTTCGAAGTTCGAATGCATCTGAGCGAGTAGGTGACGGAAGGATTGGTTGGCTAAAAGGGTTTAGGGGCATTTAAGTCAGCTTGATACAATTTTAGTCTCTTTTTAGTCCAAACAAAATACCGTTCTATTTATGTCCTTTCAAAAGCTGGTTGTTGTATTTTTGTCATTATTTCATATATTAATTGTTTTTGGCTTTTACTCTAGTTGGAAGTGCCAATTCCTGTTCACCCAGAATGGAAGGAAAAGTCGCTGTGTACACTCCCGGTTACACACCGGTGTACACAGCATAAAAAGCCCACCCACCCTTTTTCTAACTATCTCACCCCACCCTCCTTCTAAACTAACCCGTCCCACTCCCCTTCTCCTCCCATGCGCCCTTCTCTTTCCCGTCACCCCACAAAAAAAAACCGCTACCCACTCCCTCTTCTTCTCCATTCACCCGTACCCTTCTCCCTCTTCTTCTCCGTTCGTCCGTCGAAGTTGACACCTACGAAACCCAAGAACCCAACAACGCTCTCTGTTCTCCGTTCGCAAGTCACGAAACCCGCCGTCCCGCGCAACAGTTGAATCGACGAAATCCATCCAACCGTCGTCCGCTTCACTCCGCTCAACTGGTACGGCGGCGACTGAATTCGAAGGGCTAATCTGAAATTTTAAAGTGGAAGGCTTCAATGGTCATCCATGGCTAATGAACGAAGGACATGGTGCGCACATCATTGTAGTTCAGAGGTAAAGATCTGCAAAACCAACTTCTTTTGTAGTTCTTAATACTTTGTAGTTCCCTTTTTTTTGTAATTTTTTAAATTTCTGCATTTTGAGATGGGTTTTGTGAGATGTCGATATAGTGTGTTGTTATGTGTTTGTGGATTTAGAGTTCCCTGTTTTTTGCATTTCGTATGTCCTTCATAGAGCTCCAGTGGATTTCCCTGTTCTATGTATTTTGAGATGTCTGTAAAGTGTGTTCTTATGTGTTTGTGCATTGTAGAATTCTGTTTATGGGTTTCCTGAGATGTCTGTGTAATATGTTGTTATATTTTTGTGGATTTAGAGTTGTCTTTATGTCCTTTATGAGATGTCTGTGTGGCTATGATGCTTGCCTTTATGTTTATAGTATTTCGATTTGAGAAGTCTGTATCCTGTGTTCTAAAATGTGTGTGCATTGTAGACTTGTCTATTTGCTGTTCCTGAGATGTCTGTGTACTTTGTTTTTATATGTTTGTTCATTGTGTAGTTGTCTATATAGTTTTCCTGAGATGTCTGTGTAGTGTTCTAGCATATGTTTGCGCATTTTTTAATTGTCTATAAGGATTTGTTGAGATGTGTGTGTACACTGTTCTTATACGTTTGCGGCTAGCAGAGTTGTCTTTATGGTTTTGCTGAGATGTCTGTGTAGTGTGTTAATATATGTTTGTTTATTGTGTAGTTGTCTATTTAGTTTTCCTGAGATGTTTGTGTACTTTGTTTTTATACGTTGTGCATTTTTGAGTTGTCTATATGGTTTTCATGAGGTGTCTGATGTCTGTCAGCATTGGTTGTGTGCAATTTTTTAGGATGGAATTGCAAAGATACAATTCTCTGCTCAACTGATTCAAAACAATTGCTATTAAATTTTTATTTGTCTGATCAGTATTTTGAGGTTAGGCCTAATGTGTAAATGATCTTGGTTTGTACTTGCTTAGTTGAACAAAAATATCATTATGAGTTTAACTCGATCGTTGGACCTCTTTATTAATAGAATGTTTTGTTGTATTGTTTCAAGATGCAGATTATCGTCAGGTTTTGAATTCCAATTATGACAAAACCTATACACGGATAAAGAAAGGTTTATGGATGTTTGATGTGCTCCAATGCAAGAATGAGAGGATGAAGGAACACGATAAATTGATAACTAAATATTTAATTTAATACTTGTAATTAATAGTTTCTGAAGTTAATGTTATTGTTTGTAGAATGTAATTGTACTTAGATTTGCTTGATTTTCAATGATGTATCATATACGTTATGAAAATTGATATGTCTTTGGTGTTATTGGATTTCAAACGTAAGTGTAATAGAATTTGTTGTGGAATATAATAGTTGTTTGACAAAAAATCCTTTTTATTCATTTGGGAAAATGACATTTACATGGACAATTCACCTTAAAATTGTGTAACTCGAAATTTTTTATTCATGTCGCACACAATTCACCTTAAAATTTATATAGCAATTGTCTGTACATAGACAAAACTTGTATAAACATTATCAACTTTCATTCCAACTACACTTTCATTCCAACATGCAGAATAATCAAATCCATCACATTACAGTCAATTATTTTGCATAATACAGACAGAATTATACAGAAAAAATGCAGACAAAATGCAGAATAATACAGACACTTAGTTTTTACTAATCAAATATATGAATCAAATGATAGTACTCCACAATAATACAGACACTTAGTGTTTACTAATCAAATATATGAATCAAATGATAGTACTCCACAACAATTATCATAAAATGTTGCAATAAATGCTTGCCGAAGTACAACCAAAATGCATATCAATGTGTACTACTAGCTACACAGACAACCGCAAAATATACAGACATTCCTGTACGTATGCCACAGACAAAAACATATTGGAAGCACATTGTAGAATTATTGTACAACATGGCTCGGCCATTATTGTACAAAATACTACATCTAACCACCAGTATGTCAAAAAATACATCTACCCCCAATGTGTTTTTAATTATTACATATACAAAAATAATTGTTTTACAACATCGATCTTGCCATCATTGTTCATCATTGTACAGACATTTAGCTTGATTGTCTTTCATCTTCCATAGGCGTTTAGCATACTCACGCCTCTTATCTTTCATCGATCTTGCAAGGTTAGACATTCACTAAGCAGTTCTAAGGCATCTTCGTAGTCAGAGTGCACAGAGTATTGTGCGGGAAAGTAGTCTTTGATGGGAATCTTCAATTCCATCCTGCAAATACAGACATTTGTCAGAAATACAGACATCTATGAAAACTATATAGACAACTCTGCAATCGGCAAATGCTTATAGACAAGTAAAAAATGAAAATACATATGCAATAACACACTACACAGTCATCTATGAAAACCATAAAGACAACTCTGCAATGCACAAACGTATCAAAACAAACAACACAGACATCTCAGGGGACATATATACACAACTCTACAATCCGCAATTGCTTATAGACAAGTACAAAATGAAAAAAAAACATATGCAATAACACAATACACAGACATCTATGAAAACCATAAAGACAACTCTGCAATGCACAAACGTATCAAAACAAACAACACAGACATCTCAGGAAAACCATATGGGTTTTGAACAACATTTTACAGATGGCTTTTAAAAAGTAAAAACGTACAGACAAGCATCACACCCACACAGACATCTCATACAAGCCATAAAGACAACTCTAAATCCGCAAACATATAGCAAAACACTAAACAGACATTTCAGGGGAAACCCACAAAAAGAACTCTGCAATGCACAAACATATAAGAACACAGTTTACAGACATCTTAGAATACACAAAACAACACACTACACCGACATATCAGAAAACTCATCTCAGAAAAAACACAACAATGAAGATGGTTATGAAGATCTTTACCTCTGAGCCAATTGAGTCAATGATGTGCGCACCATATCCTTCGAAATCGAAGCCTTGCACTTAAAATTTTAGATGAATTTCAACCTCGCCCTTCGAAATCAGTAACCGCCGTACGTACGAGTTCAGTGGAGTGAAGCGGACGACGGCCGGGGGGGTTTCGTGACCTGCGAACGGAGAAGAAGAGGGAGAAGGGTGTCAACTTCGTCGTAGGTGTCAAATTCGACGGACGAACGGAGAAGAAGAGTGAGAAGGGTACAGATGAATGGAGAAAGGGAAGGAGAAGGAGAAGTGGAGCGGGTTAGCTCAGAAGGAGGGTGGGGTGGGTTAATTAGAAAAAGGGGTGGAGGTGGGGCTTTTTGTGCTGTGTACACCGGTGTGTAAACCGGGGTGTACACACCGGTGTGTCAAAATGGGTGTAAAATAGGGGCATTTAAGTCAGCTTGATACAATTTTAGTCTCTTTTTAGTCCAAACAAAATACCGTTCTATTTATGTCCTTTCAAAAGCTGGTTGTTGTATTTTTGTCATTATTTCATATATTAATTGTTTTTGGCTTTTACTCTAGTTGGAAGTGCCAATTCCTGTTCACCCAGAATGGAATCCGTTTTTTGTTTTGGAATTTACTTTATTGTCGCCAGCCATAATTAAAAGAAAAAAATTGGTGCTCAACCTTGTCGGAATTGCCGAATCGCTAGTTCTGCTAAGACTTTGCAGATTAGTTGAAGAAGATGGGGAAGAAGATACAGAAGCATTGTTTGGAGGATTTCAGAACCTTGATGATTCAAATGAAGAATCGAGAGAAGGATATTAGGCTCAAAAGAAGGTTACTATGGAATATATTACTAACCTGCTTTTTCGTTTTATATTTCATGGATTCCAACATGAAGATATGTTCATCTTTTCTTCTCAGGTGGTTATCGGGTATAATTTTATCACGATCAGAGATGAGTCGACTAGAGTTGCTTCTTCCACCCCACGACAAGTACTAATTGCTATTTTCTGTTTATATTCTTTGTTATGCATTCTGTTTTCCTTTCAACTATGTTCTTGGAGAGTGTCCTTGGAGAGTAATGCGCTATGCAGGCAAGGGCTTAGAGACTAGTCTATAAGCCTAGCCTAGGCAAGGATTAACCAGGGGCTAAGGCTAAGCTAGACCTAGAAAGTACTCGGTGTGTGTATGTGTATATTTATTTATTTACTTGTGTGTGTAGTACGTTCTTCTAAAGTGATTATAACTAGTTTTCAAAATGGGTGATGCAATTGCTAGACTCAAAATTAAATTTCTAAGTCTTCAGTACATCACAATAAAATGGCAAACTCTCTTTACATAAACATTATATACATAATACGGAATATGGCTCTGGAATTTGGATCAAATAAAAAAAAGTCTTAACGTGTAAAATGAGAATTAATGTCAGCCGTCCAAAGTATCGATCTGATGCACAATAACCCCTATCTGATGCACTTTCGAATAGGCTTTATTTGATGCACTTTTTGGCATTTTACACGTTAAGATGTCTTCTCATTTGAACTCATCCCTATGGCTCTGAGCCTCTAATTTATGAACGTTATCTATTCTAATACACATCAATAACCACAACTGTTCAAGACTTCAAGTTATATTTTCCTAGACCTTAAATATAGAGTATGACTCCAATTAAAAGTCACTTGTCATGTGCACCAAGTTGCACACTTATGTTTTTGAAATTTTCATCCTATAAATACTAAGATGACATGCTGAGCTGACGTAATTTATGGTCATGGAAACTTTTTCTTTTATATACACACATACTATTGATGTGCACGTTTTTAATACTTAAGTTGAAATTTTAATATTCTAGTACTGTATATGCTAAAATTAGTGGTATGAAGATCATTACATAATAATAAATACTCCCTCCGTTTCGCAATCAAAGTCACACTTTCCTTTTTTGGATGTTTAAAAAACGAAGTCACACTTCCCTTATTTCTTTATTTTGCAAAGAAATCTACATCAAAACAGTGCCAAAAGTGTCAAAACAGTGTGTAAACAGTATTCTCTACAGTGAAGTCAATTTATTTCCTTGATCCTAGAGAAGTCAAACCGTGACTTTGATTGTGAAACAGAGGGAGTATAATTTAAGAAAAAAGTTAACAGTTAAAAACAATAATTACTCTATAATTGGTACAGAGTAATTATTACTCTATATCAATAGTAAAAAATAATAATTACTCTATACTTGGTATAAATGACATCTTGTTTTTTATAATTATTATCAAAATTGTTTTATCCTATAAGTTTTGAACAAATCACTAGACAAAAATTACGCTACTGCTCACAATGAAGTACAGATTTATTGTTAAAATTATTTAGATATGATGCAAAATAGATCGGAGTGGTGGGTTCAGTAACCATCCTTGATCATGTTTCACAAATAAGAACCCAAAAAATATGTTAGTTGAAGCCCAGGCCACCAAACCACCAGGTAGAAGGAAAACCTCTCAACCCACCCAAGACATTTGCCTCTTGAAAACTGTGCTTTGATCCTTTTTTAAAATGGGCATCCTTTTTGTATGGGGGGGGGGCAGAAAATGGAATAGTTGAAAGGTATATCATATTTGCTTTAACAGACCAGGAATTGATAATTTTACCCAATATATGCTACATATCTTAATGCAATGATGCATATCTATAACAAGGGAAGGAAAAAATCATTTTAATAAGTGAGAAAAGAGGAGCTTGGATGAGTGATGAGTCTATCGCTACTTCACTTCCCCCACTTCCTTTTGCCTTCCTATCTCCTATCAGAAAATTGATAAATAATAATAGAAGCATTACCTGAGGGTGTTGCCAAATGGAGTGTTAATCTAGAACAGCCTTCTTGGTTCTGTATCACATTGTGTCATTATTCTACGCATGAGGGGCACATTTCTCTGACTTGCTATTAACCAAGTGTTCCTTTATTTTTTCCCCAATGTTATGTATTATTCATGTAATTGAGATATGTGTAATTAATTATAAATGTTGCAAGTTGGTGGGATTGCAAATTTGTAGTTGGTTTCTCAGTACTATTTGTAACTCAATCGAGCGAAGTCACCTGTAATTTTAATTCAAGCCTTGGTTTTTTTGCATGTAGGTTTGTACCCGAATCAGTGCTTAGAGAAGATGATGTAAGGTTTTCATAATTTGGTATTTTTCTTTGCACAGAGCTAATGTAATTGTCTGGCCAATTTCAATATTTTCATTGTATTGATGTTTCTGCATACATCAGCAAATTACTTTTTAATTGTCTGGCAAATTTCTTTCTTCATATACAGAAATTTCTATCTGATGCTTCTTTTGTTTGGTTGCAGTTAAGTTATGAGAGCATCAAAACATTTGTTGAAGAGACACTCGGAATGCATAAAGAGACTGAAAGAAAAAATTATGTGGCTGAAGAAGAAATACGACTCTTTGACTCACCTGATAAGGATATAATAAAGTATAGCATCTCCTTGCTAGATGAAATGACCAACAAAGGGCTATTCTCTCTTACTGAGATCTTGACAAATGGCTCTGTTAACTTCCTGAAAACAAAAAAGAAGATGAAAAATATAATCCAAGAGTTTCTACCCAAACTTTTTGAATCTCGTGATGACCAAAGCCAAATCAAATTGAAGCAAATCAAACAACTCCTTACAGATCCTCAATATTTTTTGTCGAATGAACCGGCTCTTTCAAATCCAACCCAATCATTCTGTACTGCTATTATCGACGTCCTTTCTAGGCTTGAGGAGCTCTCTCTTTTCACACTAGGTGCAATGTTACGAAATCTCAGAGAGGTCAAGGGATACACTCCAAAATCACAACATAAAAGGCCTGGCAGGACTCTTGAGAGCTTGATGAAACAAATAAGGTTAAAATCAACAGAATTGTTGCAAAAATTTGGGGATAGAGATGAACCACCAAGACCCTTGGCAAAAGCTTTATCAGTTGCATACTTGATGTTAAAACCAGAACTGAGAAATTTGTTCTCTTATGTTTCACCTGATATAGAGAAGCTACAAACTGATATTATGAGTGCTATTCAATTGGTCAAAGCTAAAAGGAAACTGAGTCGCATACAATTGAAAAAAATGCGTACTTATGCTCGACCCAGAGTTTAAAGAAAAAGCATCAGGAAAAAGTTTTTCTGCGCGTACCACACTGAAGAATTTGTTGACTGAATATCTTTTAGAGTGCTGCAATATGGATTCTATACCAGAACGTTTGCTAGAAACAGTTAGATTTATTATTGATATATCTGAGAAGAAAAGCGCATCCTGTACTGGCAAAACTAGTGGGCGGGCGACTGGAACCCTGGCCTGGTCTCATCCCAAAGGTGGTAATAAACATTTTTCTTTGTGCAATATTTTTTCTATAAAATTGTATTTAAACAGATTGCTTATTCTGCTCACCCAAAATTTGCATATTTAGGAGCCTTGTCTACGCCAATGCCAACCTGCAGAACGTTTTCAGCCGAGGAGATACAGGAAGAAGTACACCTGTTGCTGAATTTGAGTGCTCAGGCTAAGCAAATAGTGTGGGATTTTCTTCCAGAAAACATATTTGACAAAGATTTTGCTGATGCATACATAGATGATGATTATGTTGAAGATTGTTGCTATGATGAAGCAGGAGGCGGCTCTGAGGTTCAAGACTTCATCTCAGGTCATATTAGATATTATAGTAATAACAACACTGATGATATAAATTGCCAATCAGAAAGTGTTGGTGAGACCATCCCGGTTGATGATTCCAAATCTCCAGTCTCTTCAAGTCCTGCTGAAATGTTGTCCCCACTTCTTTTTTCCCCTAACAAAAATATTAGCCTCCAACAGGATTGTGGAAATGGGGATGAAGCTCATTCTCATAATTCAAGGTTATTAAGCGCTCATGGACTTTCCAAAATTTCATCTTGCGATGGAAGGTCAGAAAAATATGATGATGATGGATTGGAAGAATCAAAAGCACATCTGGGATTCATGCGAAAGTTTCATGCATCTCCTAATTTCTTTTTAGCTGAAGCTACTGGTATAGTGTCAAAAAATGATGAGAAAAATGGGTTGGTGGAGAATGCGTACCTCATTATCCAAGAAGCATGCGATGAAACAAGCATGTTTGCTTATTCATTTGTTGGCCATGTGTTGAATGGATTGGACAAATTAGAGCCGACCCCTCATGCTAATGCATCAGGTCTAAACTACTTCATGGGTATTCTGAAATAGCATAAAATTTGATTTTCCTCTCCAGTTTGTAGACCAGACACTTATATCAAAACAATGTTTGAAATAGCATATCATGGAGTGGAATTGTTTTTGCTGATTGCGTATACCCGTTGCGCAATAAGGTGCAAGGCTTAGTTTGTTGTTGGTACAATTATATAAAAATAATATCCAAATAATCACTGGGGTGCCTTTGCATTTCTCTATTTGGAGCACTATTCTAAAAAAGTATTATCTGAATTCTACATTTTTCTTCAAGAACATGCATACTATTTTTTGTTTATTCAGGTTTCTGAGATTTGCAGACGTGTACCTATGTTGAGCTTCACATTTTTGGTTTCGAATTTTTGTTTGATTTCCTGACGTTTTTTCTCCACTGTTTCCAGATCCCACGAGGACTGTGTGTGAAGATGGTGTGGGCTCAGTTGTGATGAATGCACTTGAACTTCTAGTGCCTTCATTTCCTAGCAGGTACACAGTTTCTGCTAGTTCAGCAGTCACACCTTTTCTAGTTTTTGGCTGTAATTTTGTATGCTGCGTTAATGGATTTCACTGCTCCACGAATGTTCAAGGGAAAGTGGGGGCTTTCGAGTTTAAGATCCAATTTGTTTATTTATTAAAAGAAATACTATTGTAAGTGATATCTCTTTGACTTTATTCCTTTTGATTCTGACTGTTTCTTCGGTACATCCAAGATGAATGATACCATGAACTATGTTAAAGGACCTGAAAACTGCTCATCTGCCCATCTGGTCCATTTATCATTTAACCTGCAAAACTGGTAAAAACTGTGAAATGCGTCCACCTGTTACTAAAGTCTGGCAGTGTACTAAAGCAGGTAAAAAGAACCAGAAAACTATATTTGGGAACATTAAGTGGGTTTTGATAGGATCCTCCAGAAATTCACAACAATCCACAGAGAAATGGTAAAACAGAATCAAGAAAACAAAGAAGATTTTATTATCGATGAATCCGTAACAAGAATGGCCGAAGCCCCCAATGAGCCGAAGCCCCCCAAAGAAAGAGAATAGTTCTCGATCTCCCAAAGTCCCAAAGTCAAAGTCTACAAAACAGCCTCCTTACTATTCCCAACTTATTTCTATTTATACTAGTCTATTACACTTATTAATATTCTTGGTCTATTAGGCCCAATTCTTAACAATCTAGTAGGCCCAATTCCTAAGATAGGTAGATCCCTATCAATACCCCCTCCCTAAACATCCACCTTGCCCTCAAGGTGGGTGATAGGAAGCAGCCAAGACTTCCTCCTTTCCCTTCATCCTAGTCCCCCTTCCCTTCCAATACTTGACTGACTGCTGGATCATGAGCTTTACTACTTCTATCATCTGCCATAAATACTTTGCAGCAGAGTTACACAGGTGCCATATCATTTTATCCAAAACATTGATTTCTGCAGCTTCTGTGGAGACTAAGGTGCAGCCTGCTGCAACATAGGGGACAGCAACTTCATGCTTCTGTACACCTTCTCCTTCCATATCCTTTGATAACCACTGATAATTCAGCCATTTTCCTTCTCCCTTCTTATTTATCAGGCTCTTCATTTCCTTGTAAGCTCCCAGTTGCCTTAATAAAGAATCTCCTTGTATATGTACCTTCTGCCCATGTACCTCCCATTGGATGGTCTGATTCTGAAAGTTAACTGCCATATCTCCTAAGCCAGCTAACCATTCCATTCCCAGCATGACATCAACTCCACCCAGTTGCAGCATGTAAAAGTTCTGCAGAATTTCATTTCCTTGTACATCCACTGTCAACCCATCACACCTACCATAGTTGGGAAGAAATTCCCCATTCCCTATCTGCACTTTATTCCCTTTAATGCAATTAAAAGGTATCTTCCATTCCTCAACAATCTTCTGTGAAATGAAATTGTGAGTAGCTCCACAATCAATCAAGATATTCACCTTCTTTTCCTCAGTCATCCATTTCAGATTTCCCTTGACAGTGAATGTTCTCATGGGTGGTGTTCCTTCTTTGTTCAATACAGATAATTGCATAGTTTTAGCTTCCATATGTATTCCTTCTTCTACTTTATCCTTACTATAGTCAACATCAGCTTCCTCCCCTTCAGATAGTTCTACCAGCATCATTTTAAAATTTTTCATACTACAGATGTGACCCCGATTCCAGTTTTCACCACATTTAAAACATAACCCTTTCTTACTTCTTTCTTGCAGCTCATTCTGTGATAATCTGGGACTTGTCTTCTTAGAAACAGAACTTGATCCTTCTTCCAGCTTCTTGCTACCATCTGAGTTCTTCATCAATTGATTTGTAGATGCCAGATTATAACTACTTCGACTACCATCTCCCCATTTATGATAGCTCTGTCCACCTGATGAATTTGTTTTCAAGATCTTCTTTCCATCATCTTTACTCTTCATGATATTAGTTTCATTGTTCTTGTTTTCAATCAATGATGCTGTATCCATAACTGAAGCTAGGGTTCTGGTTGAATATAGCTTCAATTCAGCCCTTATATCGCGTTTCAACCCCTTGACGAACACTCCTCTAAGTACCTCCTCAGTCAGATGCCCTTGCGAAGCTATGGCAACTTCAAATTTATCTCTGTAATCCTCCACCGTCCCTTTTTGCTTCAAACTGAACAACGGTCCCAGAGGATCTTGCGCCATATCTGGTTGAAAACGTCTGGTCAGAGCCTTTGTAAACGACTCCCAAGTCTGACGATGTGCTTGTCCTTCCCACCATTGAAACCAGCTCAGAGCTTGGTCTTCCATGGCGACAACTGCAGTGTCAATTTTGTCCTCTTCTTCCGTTTTATTTAATCGGAAGTATCGGTTCATCCTGACTAACCAACCGAAGACATCTTTACCATTAAAGATTGGTAAATCGATTTTTCTCCCAGCCGGATACTGATGGCGATGATTACTGAGGAACTTGCGATGATTATAGGATGTAGAATGATCTGAGTTGTGATCCGACCCTTCTAAACTGTCGCTTTTCTTCGTATGTTGGTGTCGCGATGATCGATGTGATGAATTAGAATGTTGCGATCGACTCCTCGATCGATCGGAATTTTTCTTCTGCAAGTCGGCGAAACTAGCTTGCATCGCCGCCATACTCGCTGCCAGGTTCCTTTCCATATTCATCTGCATCTCCCGCATCTCACGCTGATTTCTGTCAAATTCCTCCATATTTCTTCCAATTTCAGTCAAACTCCTTTCGACGTCATTCATACGCCCTTCCATCTTTGATCGAGTATGTCTCATCCAGCGATCGCCTCGCTCTGATACCAATTGATAGGATCCTCCAGAAATTCACAACAATCCACAGAGAAATGGTAAAACAGAATCAAGAAAACAAAGAAGATTTTATTATCGATGAATCCGTAACAAGAATGGCCGAAGCCCCCAATGAGCCGAAGCCCCCCAAAGAAAGAGAATAGTTCTCGATCTCCCAAAGTCCCAAAGTCAAAGTCTACAAAACAGCCTCCTTACTATTCCCAACTTATTTCTATTTATACTAGTCTATTACACTTATTAATATTCTTGGTCTATTAGGCCCAATTCTTAACAATCTAGTAGGCCCAATTCCTAAGATAGGTAGATCCCTATCAGGTTTTCACTGCTTATTAGGTAATACAAAGTACAATTAATGGACTATTGTGTGTAAGGATGTTTTTACTTGGACTTTTTTCAGTCCCATACCAGACTTACATAGTTATAAAATACATAGAGACCAGACATTTACCAGACCAGATCAGACTTAAACAAACCAGATCAGACTAGCAAATTACAGTCCAAGTAAAAACATCCTAAATGATGTTTTTCTTGTAAATTGATATATGTATGCGTGTGTATAATATTTATGATGTTCAATTTTTTTGGTCGATAGTGACCGCCTACATGGATCTACCCGTTGTTTTCCTGCTTGGTTGGTAATTATATGGTTGAAAGTTTATGTAAAAATAACTGTTAATAATATAAGTCAAATTAATAATATAACACTGTGCTGTAATTTTCTCTAATCTCGCACACTTTTTATGCAGAGGTAAAGAGGAATTGAGAGTGTTCATGGGTCTATAGAGAGGGAGGGAGTGAATTAATCCCCCATGCAGAAGCAGCAAGTAGAGAAAAAGTTATATTCAAGTTGGTTTGTATAGGTTATAATATATTCATGAATGTATTACGGAGTATCTTTTTATTTATCATCATGTCTGATTGTGATTGATTGGCGCTAGGGATGGGACGGGTTGACCCGTCACTGTGTAGGCCCGGCCCGGTGAACCGGGACCAGGACTGAGGCCCGAACCGGCCGAACCGGGTGGTTAAACTGGCGGGCTACGGGCTTCGAAAAAGGTAGACTGGCCTGTCCGGGCCAAGCCCCGTCAGGGCCTATTTTTTTTTTTTTTTTTTTTTTTTTTGATTTTTTGGCATTGGGTGGGGCTGGGTGGTTTTGGGGGTTTGAGGGTGGGATTGGAATTATTTCGAAAAGACAAAAAAAATCATTTGAAGCCCAACCTGACCCGGTCTGGTCCCGTACTAACTCAAGCCCGTACCAGGCCTAAATATATTTGGACCTGGAGCCCGCCCAAGCTCGGCCCGACCTGGTCCACACATAATTTGTGCTATAGAAGTAACAGATGTTCGATTTTTTATCATGCGTTGTTTGGAATGAAATTCATCTTTCTTGCTTTGTTGCTTACATAGTTACATTAGTACTTTTGGAAAAAAAGAATAAACCTTTCCTGATGTATTTATTTCAACCCCCCAGACGTAAACTCTTCCGCACTATTCTGCAAACAGCTCGTTTGGTAGCACGAAAATTAGTTGTTTTGACTGATTCTGCTTAAATTTATGAAATTTTGGCTGAAGTGACTGCATCCTCTGATTCTGCTGATTTAAAAAAAATAAATAAATATATTTTATCAATAAAATAAGGAACTAATTATATGTAAAAATAGTTAAAGTGGTCATCTACAGTAATTTCAGCCAATACAACCAGAAAAGTAACTTTAACCTTACTTTTTCTGCTTATTACACAATTTAGTGCGCGAAAACAAAACTTACGTGTTTGGTGAAAAAGTTGGCTAATAAACCGAAAAACAGTGTTGTCAAACGGCCTCAAAAAGTTAAAAACAAAAATAAATAGTAATTTAAATTATCTTCTAAATATACGTTTTTCTAACATCTAATACGAATCTTCAAAGGAAAATTCTTAGAATAGGATTAAATAAGTTTGAAAATTTCAAAATAGGATTGTCATTTTTTATTTTTAAAATAGAAGATAATGCCAGGTTTGGAAAATATTGCAATCTTTAAAACTTGGTATTGCCAAAACATGACAGTAATTAGTCATATTTTATTGGGAATAAAAGCATGACAATCATATTTTAGAATATACAAACATTTTTAGTTCTATTTAGGGTAATTTCCCATCTTCAAACTATTAGAGCTTTTTTGACATCATCTAATGCAAAAAAAATGAACAGGCCCGGGGACCGGCCTAGACCCGGTGGAAACCCGGGCCGGTTCTGAGCCCGTAGCCAAACCCAAAAAGCCCGCCCAGGACCGACCCTGAGCTCGGCCCGGCTCGGAGCCTGGCCAGGCCCGGGACCGGTCCATGCTTAGTTTCACTGTATGCTTTCTCGGAGATTCAGTGGGATTTAAATATAGTTTCTTTTCAAAAACCTAGTTTAAAATACCTTATATTGATTTTTATTTGTGATTGAACCAAAATACCCTGAAAGATTTGGAGCACTGCTGCCAAATCTTTTCCATAAATTTTCTGACGAGCAGCATGAAAATCTGTTGCCGCTAGATATTTGTACTGCCAACAGAATCTGCAACCACTGCTAGGTTCCGCTCTCGCCACTATGGATGGATCCCACCACGCAATGGAACTAGGGGGCAATTAATTAAATTAGGGGTAGGAAAGAAATAATTAATCCTATTTAGAGAAAATCAAACATATGACCCTATTTTTGGAAGAAAAGTATGTTTAACTCTTAGACAATTTTCTCTATATATTTGGTTGAGGCGTGAAAGTTTATACTAAGTGCAATCATAGCCCATTCCTGTGAGACCCCCCAATAATGGCTGGGGTGGTCTGGTTCAACACTGATACTCATTGATTATTTGACTAAAGACTGAACTGAAAAAATGGTTCTAGACTAGAACCAGTTTTGAAACCGGATCGAGTTCCATTTCTTCTAATATGGGACCGGTAATTCGGTAAACATCGAATCTTTTCCACTTAGCCCCTGTTTGGTTCAAATGAGGGGAGGGAAGGGGAGGGTAAAGGAGGGAAGGGGAAGGAAAGAAAAGGAAGGATTTTAACTAGCATTTGTGCTTGGTTGGAGGAAAGGGGAGGAAGGTTTAATAAAATAAATTTCCTAATATACCCTTGTTTGATAAGTATCTTATCATTAAAAAAAGGTTAAGGAGTGGTCTGAATTCGACCACCCGGTTCAGCCATTCAATGCTTACAATTCTATCAAACAGTGATGGAATCAAAAGGGCTCAACAAGATTAGGAGGTAAAAATGGAAATTAAGCGTAAAAAGTAAAAGTTGAGATTATTTATAGGGATTACTTGTTATATCTCTTCTTTTAGAAATTACCTGAATTTATTTATAGGGACCATTATTGGCGAAAGGTCCCTAGAGTTGGGATTATTTTGAAATAATCGATAGTTGGGATTATTATGAGCGGAGCGCCAATAGTTGAGATTATTACTATCAATTTTTCCTAAAAAATATTATTTTGAGTTTTTAATATATTATGGTGGCATTGATATTGATTTAGTTTGAGTCTTTGAGAAGTTATCATTTACTAGTTACCTTGCTAGCAACCTAGTATAACAGTATTTTTTTTTATAAAAATAGAACTGAGAACCCCAATCAAATCAGCTTGCTTCAAATGGGGCGGGTGAATTTGGTTTATATATCGAGACTTAGTATACTCAGCCCGAACGAAGAACAGGAGGTTCTTGGAAATTTATGAGTACCAGGACTTACCCGAACTGGGCCCACCCCTGGGAAATATCAATCACGCACAAAGGAGAACCAAGAAAGAAGAAGACTAACAAATTAAGGATTTAAGGGTGTCTGAACTTGAAAGAGCAGGTCTTGCTCAATGTATTATAATTATAACCTTAAAATGAAAATAAGTCCAATATATATACTCTGTCCTACAAAGTAAAAACCGTTTGTTTAATCTTCTTCCTTCTTTAGGGGGCGCTCACAAATCACAATGTACTTATGGCAATAACACACAACCGCACAACCGATAAGCCTTTGGAAGAAAAAAAGGTGTGCATGTCGCGCCATTTTCAAAGGAACTAATATTGGTGGTGGTGAGAGCAAAAATATACAACAAATCTCCGTGTGATGCCTATCTCTCTCCCTCTCTATCTGCTGAAGGGTTCCAGCTGAACTTCCATTCTACCAGAAGATTGCAACTCTTTCTCAGCAACCCTGCTCGGACTCAATAGATCTGTATCTTCTTCCTCGCCATCATTACCCATCACCCAGTTGCTTCTTCCGTACACCCTATTCCCTCTTCTTTTCTTCTGACAGTACTCCAAATATACCACTACCAAGCCTACTGCAACAAACCAAACAATTAACGCCCAAACGAGGGCACGAACATCCTCATCATCATACCTCTCTCCTAAATGCTTCATTCCACTGATAAGAGCAGCGATACCAACAATGATAGCACATCTTCCCGTGACAACATGAACATATTCCCAAATAACTCGTTTCGAAGATCCTTCTTCACTCGGAGAGGGCTTTTTAGGTCTAAAGTAAGCATTCACCGGTTGTGCAATAACAAGGGTTATGGCGAGTAGTCCGAACTTTACGTGTAGTGAACTGAAGGCAAAGCCACGAAGTTCAGCCACTGCAAAGAGAAATCCGAGGAAAACGATTGTTAATCCTGAGTATTGCAAGTAAACATGAATCTGAAACCAGCCATCCCCCTTTAAATGTTTTAAGTATCTAGCTGCCAGAATTCCACCTGGGAGCAAGATACCCCATGCTAGAAACATCATGAATCCGTGTACCGCCAATACGGGCCGTAAATCCTCTTCTGCTTCTGCAGAGCCCCGCATGAGCAAAACCCTTACTGGTCTATTGCTCGTGATAGAGTGCATGTTTCTGACACTCAAATGGCTGTCTGACCATTGGGCCCCCATAGCCCATATGACTTTGAGTGGGGTTGTCGGCTCGATAATATTTTTACATTCCGGCATATGATCTTGATGACTACATGATGGGAGAAGCGGACGTGTGAACTCCATAGTTATGATTCCATTTTCAGACTTGCATCTGACATTTGTCAAATTCTCATGAGTCGGATGGATATTAGAAGCATCTCGTCCGTCTATCCAATAAGTGCTCACCCTTCCTTTCCCGTCATCATCAATCCAACCCACATAAGCATAGCTGCTCACCATTCCACTACCAAACGCGATTGCTAGATAACCACTTTTTTTCTCGGCACGAGCCGCCATAGATATTGAATTATCTGACAATGTCCAGAATAAGGTGACCTGTTGGTCATCCAAAAGAACACTACTGTTGTACATATCTGGCAAGCCTCCATCGACCACCTCAACTTTCCAACCCATTTTCTGAGTATAAACAGACTGATAGTAAACCAAGTCTGGTGTGTTCCGGTCAGGGGCCCACGTCATTTCTGTAGGGCTTGCTTGAACTCCTTCTGCTTCGGGACCGCCAAAATATATCGTCTCGGAAGCATTCCTCAATGTTGCATTCCCACCGATTGGGTCAGAGGTGATGTAAAATGCAACATCATGCCCGGCTTGTAATGAGAAAACTATCGGAACGCCCCTCTCAACCCGAAGAACAGGAGACTCTTTCTTGTTGATGTAAATAACCCGTGAAGGATTTGGTGGGTTTGGGTAATATACAGCCGGCCCCGCCGTGACAATAAGTGGTTCCTTTCTATCAGCATTGACAAGATCCTGATCTTGCTTATCATCTGCATCAAGGGGTCCCACACAATCATTTACCTGTTCTGATATGTTAAGGGTCAAGTGCCCATATGTGGACCCATGGTTTTGAGGAAGATAGAAAGGGCGGAGACTATCTGGAGGCTTTAACAGCCCTAATGCCCAAATAACTACCATTTTCCCATTTAGACTCAATGGAAAATCGTACTTCTTATCAACAGATTTCAGGGTCCTCTTATACCTAATAAAAGACACACCATCTTTTCTGTGCCCATAAACCAATCTTGTATTGTTTACGGATTCTCTATCGGATTGTTCATAGACAGTGTCTGGACAAACACCCTCAGCAGTTCCATCATTGCTAATCATACATTCACTGTACTTTGAAATAAAAAAATCATCAGAAAATGGCATACCATCTTCCCTGAATCCTGTAACAGTCACGTCACTGCCAAACATAAACTTAGATGAAGCATTGGGGTTTGCCCACCCAAATGCCATATAATTAACAAATGGAATTGCAGCCTCTAGTCCAATGTCAATAGTGTCTTCATCTTCATTTAAAGTCCATCTAACCCTATAGTTCTCTGACAAGACTCTGCAATTCTGCAACATAGTGGGCTGCCCTTTTGTTTGAACTGCGGACAAATAGTCAGTCGAGTTTGTGGAATTTCCCAATATAACATGCCCGAAATCCGAGGATGTAGGAAGATCCCAAACGGAAACAACTTTAATACGACCCCAAGTCATGTTCTTCTTTAAGCTAACAACAAAACTCGCGTTTTCGTAGGTTTTGTTCAAAATCTGATCGGAAATCACAAAACCCTTGGTGAGATTCTCGAATTCTTCTCCGACGGAGCCCCACCACCGCACATCAGAACCCTCCAGCATATCGAATTGACTAACCCTAAAGGAGCAGCCGTCCTCTACAGTCATTACACCTCGCAGTTGGTGCTGCAACATGGAGAACTGATACGTGTGGTTCAGAAGAGAGCTGTCCCATGACTTGGGGCAACCATGCCCGGGATCATCAGAACAATAAATTGGAACGTAACATATGAGAAATTCCAGAAGAAGCAGCATACATGACAGCCGTGGGGGTGCCATATAAAGGGAAGATCCCAGATAGGAGATCAGGATTGGAGTTAGGGTCACGAAACGTACCCTGATCTACGCCTGTATTGTGAATGCAGATAACACAGCGCAGAAGGCTGGCTAGATTTGTAGACGGGAAGAAGAGGCAGTGAGATTACCTTGGGTAAATGGGAGGGCGGCGAAGTGGGTATCGCCGTGTTGCCGCCCAGATGGGATGGCGGAAGGAATGGAGGTAGCTGCCGTGAGCGGTGCTGGTGTCGTCGCGAACACGGTAGTTTGAGGTTGGCGAAGGATAGACGGCCCGTTTTCCAGTTTAACCGGTGTCAGTACGTCAAAGAATTTCATCAAATTATTATTAAAAAATGGGCAATTTTTCGAGTTGTTTATGAGACTAATTTGAGTTACACTTCATTTTCTTGTCCAAATTGAACTTTGTAATCCGTTTTTAAAAATTTTTGTGTTTGCACCTCAAAACTGTATGAAAAGACAAAAATGCATCTCGATCAGGAATATGTTGAAGGCCAACGTGATTATTAGTGGAGGAACATTTTGTCTTTTCATACGGGGTTGTGGTGCAAATACAAAAATTTTAAAAAACGAGGTGCAAAGTCCAAATTGGACTACAAAATGGGGTGCAAACTCCAATTAGGTCACTAATCAAAATAGGGAAAATTGTCAATTTAGTCCTCGTACTTTCATGAAAAAATCAATTAGGTCTCCGTACTTTTAAAATCTATCAAATCCCTGAACTTTGTAAAAAACTTCAATTGGGTACATTTGCAAGTTACTTGCCACGGCAGCAGGTCATCGGCTGACGTGGCACGCACATGGCGCTCCACGTGGGCACCACGTCATCAACAAATGGCTGACTCGACTTCTACATGTGTGCCATGTTAGCAAAATCATTTGTGATTGGGTTGCCATGTGTGTGCCTCGTTAACGAGTGACCTGGTGACATGACAAGTAACCTGCAAATAGACTCAATTGAACGTTTTTTGCAAAGTTCGGGGACTTGATTGATCTTTTCAAAAATTTGAGAACCTAATTGACTTTTTTCATGAAAGTGTGAGAAACAAATTGACATTTTCCCCATCAAAATAAGTAAAGTTTGAACTGTTTTTTCTAACTAGATTGATTGGAAAGATTGCATACAACCATTTTACTTATTTTTCATATAATTTTTTCTTTATTTTACTAGTCAAATTCATTTTAAATATTTTTTTAATAATTCAGTAGACAAAAAAGATCAGGTCCAGCCCTCCCCGGTCCAGCCGTCGTCCGAACTCTGCCGTTTGGGGCGGTTCCCGGTAGAATTTTTTGATGAAATTTTTTGAGCATGTTCTTCATCAAGTCTAGTTTGTCCATACAAAATTTCAGCTCAAAATTCGACCGAGAAGGCATTCAAATCATTTTTTGAAGTTGACTGCATTTTTATATGTATATTTTGGCGCAGTCAACTTCAAAAAATGATTTGAATGCCTTCCCGGTCGAATTTTGAGCTGAAATTTGGTATGAACAAACTAGACTTGATGAATAACATGCTCAAAAAATTTCATCAAAAAATTCCACCGGGAACCGCCCCAAACGGCGGAGTTCGGGCGGCGCCTCCCGTCCCTCCGGCTGGACCTGATCACTTCTCATTCAGTAGAATCATTCAATCCCGCCACTTAAACCATAACTTCATAAATTTCAGCAGAACTAGTCGATCAACAAATTTAAGTGGTACGAACCATGCTCTTAATGTGTCGTCTTTAAAATTCTAATAAGTTTGCATTTGTTCTTAGGTAGTGTGGAATAACCTCCAATGATCTTGTACATAGTATTAAGCAAGTGATTGAACTAGTAAAGTCAATGCACCTCAGAGTATTTGATGATTACACATATTAATATTTGGTTGCATTTGATCAAATTCCTAATTGGTTTTACGGTTATAAGCAGATCTTTGTGTCCAATTATTTAATTATCACTTTATGTATACAAAAACAAGTCACATGTCACCCTCTCCAATTGTATGTTCATTCTTATACGTCTATAAAAATGGAGGTGTTCACTTCCTCATTAGGCTTCTTTAATTTGAAGTTGTTTTTAACTTGTGAAGTTCTCCGATAATGTCTTCTTCTTCATAGTATGCACATTTATATGTCTCCCTTATCTCTAGAGTTAGATATTGAATTTCCATCTCTTTAAAATAATATATTTGGCTAGAATCGCATTTCTCCAAACCTACCTTCACCATTTTGAGGTTAATTTAGTTCATGACTTTTTAGGACCTTCTACTACCGTTGCAGATGCTGAAAATTAATTTCAAATGTCTTTTGAGTTGTGTGGTCATTTTCGCTAAACTCTTTATAGAGTTCATAATTTGAGTCCTCTCATTTGTATTCATTAGGTCTCATCATTTGGTAGTCTACTTCCCAGCAGTCTGATTTATTATACGATGCTACGTCTTTAACACCATTCGTTATTTTTAAGATTTTATTTCTTTTAGCTAGAGAGAAAATTTCTCCTTTTTCATATTTTTGACTAGTTAATTGAGAACAGAAAGAAATATTTTTATTAAGACTCGATGTAGTGGTTGATAATTTTTATGTGTTCTCATCTCTCTCCTACTATGTGTGCCCTAAAATAGTCTACCATCAAGGTAATCTAAAAGAGAAAGTCTAATACAGTCACATTGTCCTCTTTTTGGTTGATTTAGTAGATGAGCTTTGCATTAATCACATTCACTTCGTGTGTGTAACTCTTCTTTTTAAACATTACTTTTTGCCGGATGGGCTCCTGGATCTCTTTATATTAAGATACTTTATTTTAAATATTATATTGATGCATTAGTTTTTAAGATTTATTCCAACTCAGACGTTGTAGTCATGAATGATACATTGATCAACTATCAATCTCCCACCTCGTAAACTCTAGAAGAAATGATTAATTGTTGTTTGCTTTCAATTTCAGCCCTGTAATAAAAGATAATCAACCCCAATAAGTTGAATTGTTAAACACACATGTGTTTTATTTTTTTAATTAAATATTTTATTATGGGTGATTTTACTTTAAAAACTTAACATTGAATGATTATATGAGCTATTTTTATTGTCAAAATATTATAAATTTATTAGTAGTATAATTAAGATTCAAACAAAAAAAAACAGAGAAATAAAGAAAAATACCTAGGAAACCTAAGTATTATTAAATAAAAAAATATTAATATTTTCGAATTAATATTACACAAACATCATGTAATACTTATTGTAAGATTAAGAATATATACTAAATTAAGTTTACCTTTTATTTCTAGAATACTTCGTATATCTTACTAATAATGTGAAAAGAGTAAGCATACGCGTTTATATTCTAGAATATGAAATGCATAGGTATATGCATTTATACATTTTACGTTGTCCTTATTTTTGAACTAACCGAAGGGTGATTAAGGAAAGCTAAAAGAGAGAACAACTTTCTAAAGGTGATGTGCAACTTTTTATGCATAGATTATGTTGACACAAAATGAGGGTAATAACTAAGATTCACAAATATAAGGTTTTTAGATTATACTTGATGGAATATTGTGTATCTAGGCATACAAGAACATAGGAGAGATAAGAGTTAAAAGAAGATAAATAGTAGAAATGTATTATGGCTAGAATAAATGCCTTTTGGTGCACAAGCCCCCTAAGATGAATATATATATATATATATATATATGTATATATATAGAGGACTGCTCAGGTACCTCCGGAGGGACGGGAGGGACCGTCCGAACTTTTACTGTTTGGGGCGGTTCCCGGTGAAATTTTTTGATGAAATTTTTTTAGCATGTTCCTCATCAAGTCTAGTTTGTCCATACCAAATTTCAGCGCAAAATTCGACCGGGAAGGCAGTCAAATAAATTCTTGAAACTTACTGCAATTTATATATGCGCAGAATGTGCAGTAAGCTTCAAGAATTTATTTGACTGCCTTCCCGGTCGAATTTTGAGCTGCAATTTGGTATGGACAAACTAGACTTGATGAGGAACATGCTCAAAAAAATTCATCAAAAAATTCCACTGGGAATCGCCCCAAACAGTAAAGTTCGGACGGTCCCTCCCGTCCCTCCGGAGGGACCTGATCTTTTCTGTATATATATATATATATATATATATATATATATATATATATATATATATATATATATATATATATATATATAGGGGTTAGTTCCTGTGAGAACACCCTCTTATGAGAGCAAAAAATAACAAAATATAACCATTGATATGATTGATCTAATGGACATAAAAAAATATGATCGTAATTTATTAGCCCCATTATTCGGCTAATTTAGTGGATTCGGAAGGGAAAGTCTAATATTAATTGACATCAAGGGTATGATTGTCTAATCATGCTCAAAACCGTTTTCCACATTTGGCTCTTTCCTATTATTTAGAAAATATTAATATGTATGCAGCACTATAATAGGAATTCATTCTAAAAAGCAGGCTAATAATTAATAAGGAGCAACGTACCTCTCTCTTATTCCATTATTTTAATTTCCTTTCCAAAATAAATTTAGTATTAGCACACATATAATTAGGATGAACGATGAATAATTTGATAAACAATATTTATTCAAATTGTGCATTTTTACGTTTAATTGTCTTATCAGATGCAATATTTCATTTTGTGTATTTGCACTTAAATATTGAATACTTGCACTTTTATTTGAAACATATTGCAACATCAATTTAATTTCATATTTAGATATTTTTGTAACCTACAGAGAAATACAAGTTTATCAGGTTAATTTGGAGTATTGTAAACTACACTTTAATGTTATTAATTTGCACTTTTTAGAACATCAATATACACTTTAAGCATTTAGTTGGACACATCCATACATGGGTTAAACTAATATAAATATACAAGGGTTAAACTATCAACTATGTGCATTTAGAATAATACAAATGTGCACTATAACATCACACTTTCTAAACTTCTACATTGACACTCTTTTACAACATAAAATGCACTTTTATCATGTGCACTTAAGTATGCATAAAAGTGATTTAGTATATCACACTTTTCCGAAAGTTTACATTGACACTTTTTACAAATTGAAATGCACTTTTCTTTTGAAAGCATCATATTTTCCATTATGGTAGTGTCTCTTGATGCCACTTTTATGCAAAACAAAGTAAAATAAAAACTGATGAAAGGTGCATGAATGGAATATGATAAGTGCAAAAAAAGTTTAATAAAAAATTTATCATTAGAAGTTAATAATTAACCATTAACAAATCAATCTATTTGACATTAACCATGTTAAATGCATCATCATATGATAATGTCAGTGCACTAAATTGTTAGTGCAAATCTACCAATCTAAAAA